GAGTTTGTAAGCCCCTCTGAGACTCTTTTGGGTAGTGAAGGGCGGGGTATAAATCCAATCTCTTCTTCTTCTTCTTCTTTTCATTCATAATCCGCCTCTCTAACTAGAACCGAAGGCTGATTACAAGTATGATAGACCTATTCAGTCAGTCAGTCTGTAAGTCAAGTACCTATTCAGTCAGTAAGCCAAGTACAAAATAGGACAACCTTTGAGCGATAACAGCATTTGAATCTAACAGCAAAGATTGTCGAGAGCCTGTTATTGTGTCCATGTGTTGGATCCGTGAGAGATCATAAATACAAAATATTTGTGTCACAATTTTATCTGGGGTTATTTCAATTAAGGAGAGAAAGGGCTGCGCCAATCGGAGCAAAGAGACGAAGAGAAAACGACGGTGCAGTGGAAAGACAATTTTATTCCAATGCGTTAATAGCCCCTGCGCGTTTCGCACTGAGCTTCCTCAGGGAGATCCAAAAATAAAAGAAAAAAAGTTAACAAATATCTTTTAACTGTTTTTCTAAACTATTTGTTAAAAAGTGTCAGAACAGGGATAAAGAGATAGGGTTGATTCACTCTATTAAATAATTTTCAGAATTAATAACTTTGGAGTTCTCTCGTTCCACATACCTGCAATAATTGGTACAATGTTGTTCTTAGTTCCTAGCAGTATCTTTAGTGGCTCTTCCCATTTATTGCATTTTTTTTTTATTTGTCTCTTTACTTCAATTAAATCCTGCTCAGTGGCTTTTTTGCTGTTGAGAAAATTCACTGCTTCTGCTCTGTTAACATTTTCAGAGTGAATCAATGGAAGCTGTAGTGTGAGAGGTGACTGGAAAGTTCTAGAACTACAGCGCAGTCCTAAGGAAAGGCAGTGGGCCCAGATGGGTGTCGCTCTGCTTAGGACTGAACTGTTAGCTAGTCAGGAAATGCTGTATTTTCTTTTGGCTTATAAACAAGTGAGGCCTTGTTGTCACTGAGGTGGCAGACATGTTCCTGGATGATACCTTTTCAGGCTGCAGTTGGGGCTCACGCAGTTAAATGCCCTTCCAGACAAAGATGTGCCCTGCACCTAGAAAACTTGCTTGTCAGGGAAAAGGATCGGCCAGAAACGTTATCCCTGACATGCTAGCTTTCTGCATGAAAGGAAGTGTTTTGTATGGTGGATTGTTGAATCATGAGAGCCTTGACCCCACCAGTCTTGAAGCGATACAGCCCAGGCACAGGTTTACCATCTCAGTGCAAACTAGGCCTAAGTGAAAGGTGACTCACACTGAGCTAAAGCAACACTGAAACAACAAAAGCAGAACATGCGCATCTTGCATGATTTCCCAATTTTTTTAAGGGAGGTGGGTGGATAGAAGTACATCCTTCCGGGGAGGAGAGGGTTGGGGAAATAAGGAGCCCATGAGAGAAAAAATAAAATAAATGGTGGAAAGAGAAGCAGCTTGAGAACGAGAGACTAGAAACCTGAATCAGATATGGCGCATGGAATGGAGCCAGCACAAACATATCCAGGCAGAGATGACCAAAGTCATAGCCATAGCACCGGGGTGGGTGGTGGGGGAGAGAGTTTAGATAACTGGCAAAGCCCTGAAAGCTGAAATAGATGTCACAAAGTTGTTGCCTAAAACGACAGCCGTATGTTTCACACACAGACGCTCACACCCATAGCATCTCTGATGTCATAGCATTTCTCAACCCCATTCCACATTTGGTTGCTGCCGGTAAGGGCAAACATGGAACACCATGAACATGGAACATCATGACATCACAACACAAAGTGAACTCTGTTCGGTTTTTTTTGGGGGGGGGGTAGAGATGTTTGGCAGCCTCTCAAAGTGTATCACATAGTTTGGCCTTGAGAGAAGAAGCACGTGGCAGAGTTAAGAGGCCTGCATGTTCTCTTTTAGATCACTTTCCCTTGACATTTTTCTCAAGCTGCTGGTCTCTGTTATGCAGGAGCGACGGTATGTGTGTTGGACGGCGCCGTGTTGCTGGAGGCTGGCTGGGTGGACATGGTGCACGAAGTCTGGAGCATCATTGTCCCTGAGGAGGAGGTGAGCGCTGGCTTCTCTTGCTCTCCCTGCGCCTGAAACCAAAGCTCACGCTTTGCAGTTGGTAGTCCAGTGACGACAGAAGAATTTCTGCTTCCTCCAAGAAATCACTTTCATGTAGGACAGTGCTTGGTTTGGATTAGTCCTGAGTGGATCCAATAAAAATTCAGGCCGTCTCTCTTCTCTCTCTCTTCTCTCTCCCTCTCTCTCCCTCTCCCCCAGGCCATCAGACGCATCCTCGTCCGAGACGGCATAAGTGAGGAGGCTGCCCGGAAGCGCCTGGAGAATCAAATGCCCAGCAGCCAGCGCGTGAAATATGCCCATGTGGTTCTTTGCACAATGTGGGAACCAGAGGTTACGTATGAGCAGGTAAGAGGCCTCTGCTTTGTGGGAGAGCGTCCGCCCAGTACAGTTCACGCCCTGTACTGCCACTGAATGATCTCTTTCTGCGGGAAACTTCGCAATGCACTAAGCATACCCTGGCTTAGAAATACCTTTTCCTTTTTTAAAGATTGCTTTGCATGGCTGATTCTTACCTCCGGTTCCCTCGCTGAATAAGCACCTGTCCATTATTTGCAGGCAGAAAAGGCTTGGGCCCTGCTCCAGAAACGCCTCAAAGAGGAGTAGATCTTGAACTGTGAGATGGGGGAATCGCCTCTGCAACCCCACTCCCTCTGCACTGCCGGATTGGAAAAGCACGCACCGGACAGGTCTCGCCCCAGTGCAGGGACCACAGATGAGGGTGCAGATGCGGGAAAGGGAGTTCAGACTGCCTGATGGCTGCGAGTGGGAGAGGAGAGAGCTGCATTCCCCCGTGTGTTTTTTTTTCCTATTGCAAACAGCCAAGGGGAACAATGGAGCAGAAAACCAGAAGCGGGACTGCCTGTTGAGCAGGCAAGAACCGTTGTTAAATGCCGGAGCCACGCTTGGGTTGCATGAGTTTCCTGGGGAGCAATGTTTTAGTGACTGATGAGGGTGCCCAAAGATTGTGAGGGTGTGGGGGCTGGCTGTATATCAGGGGTGCTGCGCTGTCCTCACCTGCCCCCGAGCTCTCTGCTCTCGGTATGCTGTGTGCCCTGCGCATAAGCTATACATAAACTCGCAAACTCTTGACTGATCTTTCTCTTTGTGGTGAATTTCACTTATATCCCCAGTAGGGAACTTCCTACCCGGTGCATAACCCTCTCCTTTGCAATGTTCAAGGGCCTGACAGGATGAGAAAAATCCAACCGACAGCAACAGTGCAATCCAAGTCATTAGGACCAACCCAGTGATGCATAACAAGGTGCGAGCTTTTGAGTTCCTCACAACTCTTCATCAGGCCAGATGTTAACGAAATTTTTAAAAAATTAAAAAAGTAGATTTTTCAGGACACAGTGAATTTAAGACCAGTGTTCCCTCTAAGCTGAGTTAGTGTCAGCTAACTCACAGTTTTTTAGCCTCCGGCTCACACATTTTTGTCTTAGCTCAGGAAGGATGGCTCCAAAGCAAACTGATTTATGCAGTAGCCAAATTGCTCGCTCACAACTTTAATGCCAGTAGCTCACAAAGTAGGATTTTTGCTCACAAGACTCCACAGCTTAGAGGGAGCATTGCCCCTAAGAGCTAAACTAGACATCATGCACTTGCTACCTTAAATGACAGCTGTGCATTTCACGCACACACATACGCTCACACGCTTGGCATCTCATGCACTGATGTCACAGCATTTCCTGTTCCCTTTCCACATGATATGGTGGAACTTCTGGTAGGCAAAGAAGATTCGGGTTTCAGGCAGTTGTAGGTCCTGGCCACAATAGCAAGAAGCAGTAAAACAGTTAAACTGCATACCAGCAGTTCTCCCCCAGTGCATGAGAGAGATTCTGAAACCTCTCTTAATTTGAATTTGCTTATTTATTTATGTATTTATGTATTGGATTTATATCCCGCCCTCCCCGAAGAGAACAGACAACCAAGCTCTAGTCTACCAATTAAGATTTTTATTGTTGGATTCAGGGATTTCAGAAACATCATACTGTTTTTCTCACACAAAGGTCTTGAACGGACCAAAATCTAACCCTCTTACAGGCAACAGTACAAAGTTTGAGCCCAGGGGCACCTTTAAGAGCAACAAAGTTTAATTCTGGGCATAAGCTTTCGTGTGCACGCATACCTCTTCAGATACCGAACCACCCCCAAAACACAGTCCACACAATCCCAATTACTAGGACCGACCAAACCACACGTGTGCACACTTTCAAGTTCTCCAGAACTTTCCTTCAGGCTGATGTTACCCAAAAAAAAGAAAGAAAGAAGGAAGATGCTTCAGAACATGAAGGAGTCCCGTGTTTGAATGGCTGTGGCTCAGTGGTAGAGCCTTTGCATGCAGGAGGTCCTAGGTTCAATCCCTGGCACCTCTAGTTAAATAGACCGGGCAGTAGTTGATGTGAAAGACCTGCTTGAGACCCTGGAGAGCCACTGCCAGTCTTGAGTAGACAACCCTGACCTCGGGCCAATAGTCTGAGTCAGTATAAGGCAGCTTCATGGGTTCATGTGAGCCACCACTAAGAAATGCAAAGACATGCCTGCGTCTCAGACTTCTGCAGGCAGAAACCAGGGGATCTTCAATGTCTTTTCCCCCAAGGAGCTCTGGGAAGTGTAGTTTTATAAGATGTCTCTTACATTAGAGGTTGCTAGGCTTCCTCTTGGAGCAGCACCTACATTTCTCTTGACAGCAGCAAAACTGGCAGTGGGGGGGGGGGGGGTTTACAAAATCAACTACAGAGATGGCCCCAAAGCCCTTGGTCCAGGGGAGGGTGAAGAACACCTATGCATGATGACTTGTGCCTTTTCTTAGCTATGTACCGGAGAAGATGCGAGTGCTTTTCAGAAAGGAGCTGTGTTCGCAGTGATCTCTCCCTTTCCCAGCCTTGTCATGAGCGCCACTGCCTTAGAACACACCCCTGGCATTAACCAGGTCAAAACCCAAGGTGGAGGGGCTCCTGCTCAGGTTCAGAGGGCTTTTCTTCCACACCTTCTAGCAGTCCAGGGGCACCTTGAAGACCAACAGAGTTTAATTCTGGGTGTAAGCTTTTGTGCGCATGCACACTTCCATCAGATGGGGCATGCATGCACATGAAAGCTTAAACCCAGAATTAAATTTTATTTGTCTTCAAGGTGCCGCTGGACTCAAACTCTGTTCTGTTGCTTCAGGCCAAAATGGCTGCCCACCTGAATCTACCTTCTAGCAGTGCTATCACCTTTTTTAAAAACTGAAAAATGCACTTGGCCCTTTACTAGTGAAACAGCAGGCAGAAAATCTGCAGGTGGAGTGCTCAAGTCTGCACTGAAGAGGAAAGACGCTTCTCTCGAAATTCTGTCTGTCATACAGCTGTGAGGGCCCCAAAACCTTTTCTTGGGGAGGGGGAAGATTCCAGTCCTACCTGCAAACTTATCTCCTGAGTATCAGGGATCAGTTAAGGCAACAGAGGGCACAGCTGGAGTCCAAAGCAAACGTCAGTCCCTGTGAATTGAAGAATTGCGCACAATTGTACACATGCTACGCAGAAGAGTCCCTCAAAACAAGGACGAGCAGTGACAGGCTGTCCTTCACACCAAAGGTCACTGCTGAATTCTCTCTTGAAAGTGACAGTTTCGTCCTAATCTCAGGTATGTAGAAACTGGCTGGAGTCCATCACTACGGAGCAAAAAATGTCCCGCCTGTGCTTGGGAACGTGCTCCCTTCTTCAGGAAACCCAGGGCTGTGAATTAAAACCGGGTCTGGAACTTTATCCCGTTTCCAGTGGTGTGCTGATCATAAAAAGAATTCCTGTTCACATGTTACCATGCATGCACATACAGCCTGCAATGTGACTGCATATCCCTGTCTGTACAAAAGGGCCACTGAGCATTCATGCTTTCTCCATTGTGGCCTTCCACAAACTATGCAAAAGGGAACTATCCGAGTGGTAATAGGGTGGCTCTGCACAGAATGGTTTTACAAACTTGCTAGGATAAATGATTAGGGACTGTGGTCTAGATCTCTGTGTATAGCTAATTTAAGTAGGATCCTGTTTATGTAATTTCTGTACCACTTAATGTGTCATGTAGGGATTCACTATGTCCAATCCGCCTTGAGTCCCTGTGAGAAAGGTGGACTATAAATAACAAATAATTATTCACTTAACAAATGAAGCTGGGGGCCAGTACCTGGATCAATGTGCGGATCAAATCACACCTTCAGCTGTACACAGGGGCGGATTAAGGCTCACTGGTGCCCTAAGCACTGACCAATCTTGGTGCCCCCCTCCTTTCCACACTGACTCCGTCCATTTTAGTTGTTGACCTGTCTGACCAGATATACAGTGCAGGTTGCAGCAATACAAACATTTATTCATAGGATAACACAATATACTGTACAAACTAAGCTTTTCACCCTTTCCCCAACTTTGTGGTGCCCCCTTTGGCCCTGGTGCCCTAAGCACGTGCTGAATCTGCTTAATGGTTAATCTGCCCCTGGCTGTACATGCGTTGAATGTAACATGGGAATGACTCAATGCATGTGTAAAGAAAAGTCAAGGGTACACTAAACATGGACAGTACACATGCTCACTTGTGAACAGGGCTAACGCTCACCCCTACGTATGTGTTCAGAAGGATGTCTTTATGGTTTGAAAAGATACAGAAAATTATTTAATAAAAAAGCCGGGGGGGGGGGCGGATTGTCCTTCCCTCCCTGCCCACTGCCTCTGTTGTCCAGGCCCCAGCTCTTCCTGGGACATTTCCATCCCAAGCAATAACCTAGCCAAATGCTTAGTTTATACCACTCCGTAAAAGGATCAGGCAGTTGGAGCGCATCACAAAGACACACTGTGTGTGTGTGATACATCCACAAAAGACAACTGTTCCCCCCCCCCATTGAAACCCGATGCCTTAATTGTCTTCAAAAGTGACAAAAAGGTGTCATACTTAACTGGTTTATGGCATCTCTGAGACACCAGGAAAAGGCGGCTCTTTAAATAGGATGGCTTTCAGACAGGAGGGGAGGGTGTGAAGCCGTGTTTCACACGCAGTGGTCATCTTCCCAGCTCAATTTATTGCTCCTTTAAGGGGGGGTGTATTTGGGCTGGGGGACAACCGAAGTATGTTTTGGAGCTGCCTGGTGGATGCAGGACCAAGGAGCACAGCTGTAGCTTTTTTTAAAAAAAAACACCCAAAGGGATATTTTTTATTTTGCATTAAACTACAAACTACAAAGAAAATTTGGAAGGGGAGCTACAACTAGGGATAAAGGAAAGATTACCACACTAAACTAAAATCCCAAGAGGAGGAGATCTTATTTCTGTTAGTGTAAATGTTAGTACCACAAGTGTTAGTATCACAATATACTTGTAGAGTTCCTGCTCATCTTCCATGTTTCTATGTTATTATGTTAGTTGTTATGAGAGAACTTCATCTTCGTGTTCTTTGCTTCAAAAGGCCAGTTTCCCAGTCCTTCTGCCTTTACTTCGGCTTTCCAGCACCCGTTTCTGTAGCAGAGTCTTCTTCTATTCCAGAGGTAGCAGAGTCACTGGATTTCATTTCTTCTTCCTTAGATTCTTCCTCTGTTCCAACCTGACGCCGCAAAAACTCTTTAGCCTTGAAAATGGAGTCTATCTTCTCTCTTTTATCGTTGATCTTAAAGATGACACATTCTGGAATCACTTGAGGTGGCACCCCTCCAGGCCGCTGGTATGCGATTCGCCCTTCCGCAGCTCGGGGAGAGTGACCGCCATCGCTGCTTCATAAACCGGAAGTCAGCTGTAGCTATCCTGAATCCAGCAAAACTGGGCTATTATCGTCATGGTTTTTAAAAGACTGTAGGGTGTGATCCAGCCACAGTTAAGCACTTTAAAACCAATAGCGATTAGAAGAGCCAATGGGGGTGTGGGCATCAGTTTGCTGGCGCAGGATCTAGGAAAGCTGGCTCATCAGGTAGGGTTGCCAGCTCCAGGCTGGGAAATACCTAGAGGTTTTGGGAGTGGAGCCTAAGGAGGGTGGGGTTTGGGGCATCATGCCATAGAGTCCAGCTTCCAAAGGGCCCATTTTCTGCAGGTGAACTTATCTCTGTTGCCTGGAGATCCATGTAACAGCAGGTATCTCTGGCCACCATCTGGAGGTTGACAACCCTTTCACTGGGTGACCTTGGGCCAGCCAACACCTAACCTACCTAGCAGGTTTGTTGTACAATGGAGAAGGGGGAAGTCTGCCACAACCAACTTTTTCAAGGATATAAAAACAAATGGAATAGAATCTCGAACCTGGCAAGGGAGTGACTCCCTGACTCTGCTATTCTCACAGTTTCCGCTCTTAGAACAGAGTTCCAGAGAGTCGCAGTAGGGCAGATTCGAGGGGAATCCCTTCTCCTCCTAAGGCACAACTGTCGGTGGCCGCAAGGAAGCCCCCTCCCTCGAGGCGAACTGCGGAGAGAAGCTCCGGGTCAGCCCCACGCTCTGGATCTCGGCCAGTCTCCGGCTCTTGCGCAGCACCTGCAGGATTTGTTCCAGGAAACCCGGGGGGGGGGAGGAGCAGAAGAGGGGTGGGCGGGCCTTTTGCCACACACCCCCGATGACGTCGCTGTCAAGTCCGGATTAAGCCCTTTCCCCGCCTCCTCCAAACCAGACTTCGCGCTTGAGTGGTCTTCTTCGACGATGGCTGGAAGCATCTGCACCGGGCGAAGCGCCGCCGCCGCCGCCCTTCGGGAGCTGTTGGAGACGGGTCTGCGCCCACGTGGCGGAAAGGGGGCCAGGTAAGAAGCAGCCCTCGGCGGGAGGGGGGGGGGGGGGTCCTGGTGAACGTGGGCGGCCGGGAGCTCAGTCTTCGAAGTTTCTGCTTCTCTCCACCTTGCCCTGCGCCCCAAAGAGGTGAGGCGAGGCTCGTCTCCGAGCGCCCCGGATTAGCGCCTCGCGGAAGCTCAAGGTTCTAGTACGGCGCGTTGCGTTAGTTTCCCCCAGAGAAGGCCTAGGACACGCGGTTGCCAATATCATCCCGGTGGGGGCTGGAGATGTCCCGGTATCGCGATTGATCTCCAGACCACGTATGTCTGGTGTGTCTATTTATCGAAAACACCCACCCCCCACACACTTTTCCTGGAGAAAATGGTTGCTCTGGAAGGTGGACTGCATGGCATTGTACCCTACCGAGGTCCCTCCCCTCCGGCTCTCTCAACCCCTCTCCCAGGTTCTACCCTCAAATCTCCAGGTATTTCTGAACCCGCAGTTGGCAATCTTAATGACTCTTAAGAAAATAATATCCAGATAACGTCGTCGATAATACAAATTTATGGTTATAACCAACCCTCCCCTCTCCAGAGTATTACCCATTAATTTAGGGCATGCACCAAACGCGAAGTTAAACATTTGAAATTCCCGTCGGTTTCCGGGAGTCATGTGCGTATTTGGCCTGGCAGGACTGACTGAGCCCTCTTGATGCCTGCTGGCGTTGTGCCTGAGTAGACACCCGAGAAAGGCTGTTAGCCCTAGGACCCTGTGGAGGTCACCAGCACTTCATAGGACCACCACCAGTCGGAAGCGACTTGAGGGCACTGCCACTACCACCACCGCTCCACTATAGAGCGATACCACCGGAGGGCCGAGTAACATCTATCTAGGGCTCTGGCCCTCCCCCTTCTGGTATGCAAGATGTTTGGATCTTTCTATTCTTGTATCCTGGTTGTACTGAATTTTAACTGTTTTACCTTTTTATACTGTATGCACTTTGTGCCTCGTTGTAAGCCGTCCTGAGCCTGCTTGCGGGGAGGGCGGGCTATAAATATAATTAAATAAATAATTTTTTGGGGTGGAGCTTGAGGAGGATGGGGTTTGGGAAGGGGAGGGACTCCAGTGGGGTATAATGTCATAGAGTCCACCTTCCAAAGTGGCCATTTTCTCCAAGTGAGCTGATCTCTGTCACCTGGAGATAATCCCTGGTGGTTTCCAGCTAACACCTGGAGGTTGGCAACCCTAGTAATAAGGGGGAAGGGGAATATACCAAAGAGTGGCCAGGTCAGGAGGAGATCCAATCAAGACAGTAATCTGATCACTCAGCATGGGTGTGAGACCCTCTCAATCCTTGTTAGGCGAATTGTAAAATTAGTGCAGGCTGAAATGAGATCAGGAGGAACAATGGGATGTTAACATCTGAACAGGGTGGGATGGGCAAGATAATCACACCTCTATAAGGAGCTAAAATAGGATCCCTTCTGGTTAAATCCTGGTTGAGCAAGAATCAACAGCAGGTCACATGGAGATAGATCAAGATGGGTAGGCATGGTAATCTGTAGCAGTAGAAAAGGGCAAGAGTCCAGGAGCATCTTAAAAGATTTAACAAAATTTGTGGCAGGACAAAGTTTGAGTCCAGGGGCACCTTTAAGATCAGCAAAGTTTTATTCAAGGTATATGCTTTCATGTGCAATCAAACTTCTTCAGATACAGTGAAACAGAATTTCCTCAACCATTACTTATAGGAAGAGAGAGGGTGGGGTGGGGTGGGGGGCTAGTTGCCAGGGCTAGTTAGAGCCAAGATGCATAAGTAACTTGATTTTAACTAGCCCTTCCTGGCAACTAACCCCCCCCTCCCCACCCTCTTCCTATATGTAATGGTTGAGGAAATTTTATTTCACTGTATCTGAAGAAGCATGTTTGCCCACGAAGGCTTGTACCTTTAATAAAACTTTGTTGGTCTTAAAGGTGCCCCTGGATTCAAACTTTGTTTTGCTCCTTCAGACCCAACACGGCTGCCTCACCTGAATGAAAATTTGCAGCAGGGCAGGGGCTTTCATTGAGTCACCGCTCACTTCTTCAGACAGTCAGGGGGAATCAAAGCGAGAAGGGAAGGAACATTAGATGTTCTGTCTCCTCTGTGGTGGTAGCAAGTGTGGGGACAGTTAGGGGATTCAGTATCAGACAGCACCCATTGCTGCATGGCCCCACACAAAACGCAATAAGATATCTGAAGAAGTGAGCGTGTTCCCTCTAAGCTGAGTTAGTGTGAGCTAGCTCACAGTTTTTAGCCTCTGGCTTACACATCTTTGTCTTAGCTCAGGAAGGATGGCTCCAGAGCCAACTGATTGATGCAGCAGTCAAATAGCTTGCTCACAACTTTAATGCCAGTCACTCACAAAGCAGAATTTTTGCTCACAAGGCTCCACAGCTTAGAGGGAGCATTGGCGGTGACTCACAAAAGCTCATACTCTGCCACAAATTTTCATAGTCTTTAAGGTGCTCCTGGACTCTTGCTCTTTTCTACTGCAGCAGATCACATGAACACACATTCACCTCCTGGCTGATCCTTTTAACTGGGGATGCCGGGGATCGAAACTGGGGCCTTCTGCATGCCAAGCAAATGCTCCACCGCTGAGCCACAGGCCTTGCCTCCCTCTCCTCAAGCAAGTCTCCAGAGAGGTGGTATATAAATTTTAAAAATAAGATTATAAATAAATAAATCCAGCTGTTTCCTTTTTGAAGTTCTTCTAGCTTGATATAGTGGTTAGGAGTCAAATCTGGGAGAACCTGGTTTGATTCCTCACGCCTCCACATGCAGCTGCTGGCATGACCTTGGGTCAGTCACAAGTTCTCTCAGAGCTGTTCTCTCACGAGCAGTTCTCAAAAGAGCTCTCTCAGCCCCACCTACCTCACAGGGTGTCTGTCGTGGGGAGGGGAAGGGAAAGGAGATTGTAAACCGCTCTGAGACTCCTTTGGGTAGTGAAGGGCGGGGTATCAATCCAATCTCTTCTTCTCTTCTACTTCCTCCACATGCAGCTGCTGGCGTGACCTTGGGTCAGTCACAAGTTCTCTCAGAGCTGTTCTCTCAAGAGCAGTCCTCAAAAGAGCTCTCTGAGCCCCACCTACCTCACAGGGTGTCTGTCGTGGGGAGGGGAAGGGAAAGGAGATTGTAAACCGCTCTGAGACTCCTTTGGGTAGTGAAGGGCGGGGTATAAATCCAATCTTCTCTTCTACTTCCTCCACATGCAGCTGCTGGTGTGACCTTGGGTCAATCACAAGTTCTGTCAGAGCTGTTCTCTACAGAGCAGTTCTCAAAAGAGCTCTCTCAGCCCCACCTACCTCACAGGGTGTCTGTCGTGGGGAGGGGAAGGGAAATGAGATTGTAAGCCGCTCTGAGACTCCTTTGGGTAGTCAAGGGCGGGATATCAATCCAATCTCTTCTTCTTCTCTTCTTCATTGGGATGACCATGTATTTCTCCCCTCCTCTAGTTATGGATTATGGACTGAGCAATTTATGCAAGCAGCCTCCTTTTTGTGCCTTTCTAGCGAGACACGTCCTGTTCCTTACCCTGCTGTGCCACTAATGTCTCCTTCCCTCCTTTTTTTGTCTAGATTGTGTTTGCCATGTTGTCGGCAGTTAAGCTCCAGTTGGATCCCCGCCCCTCGGATTCCAAAAACCCGCCCTTCTCTTCCCTCGACATTAACTGCGAAGCAGCCGCACCACCGGTCCTTCTTGAACCTGGCGGCCCCTCTGTTCGGTGCTGGCAAGCGCGTGGAATATGAAGAAGTCCATCGGCTTGGGTTGAGTATTCCGAACTGTGGTGCCTTTGGTCTTCTCCTCACAGAGGCGACAACTCCAAGCAAGATTCAATACTGAGGGAGGGATCCCTGCTTATGGAAAGCTAGCTGATAAGGGAGAAGACTGCTCTAGAAACAGTCTTCTTGGCACCTAGGTTGAGACCCAGGTAGGTGTAGTGGTTAGGAGTGTGGACTCTAATCTGGAAGAACTGGGTTTGATTCCCCACTCCTCCACATGCAGCTGCTGGTGTGACCTTGAGTCAGTTATAAGTTCTCTCAGAGGTGTTCTCTCAAGGGCAGTCCTCGAGAGAGCTCTCTCTCAGCCCCACCTGCCTCACAGGGTGTCTGTTGTGGGGAGGGGAAGGGAAAGGAGATTGCAAGCCGCTCTGAGACTCCTCCAGGTATGACTCCAATCACCTCCTCTTCTTCTTCTACATGAGAGTAATTAAAAAAAAAAGATTGAGGAACTTTCCACTGTGTGAGCTCTCCACTGCCACTTGGGCCCAGACATGGCGTCAACACCACAGTGAGAACTACGCCAACGCCTGCTTCACTTTTGATGCACTCAGAGGCACTCTTGTATCACATGTCCCAGAAATGTGCTCTGGGCTAAGCATTGTCTCAAACTGAGCACTGCCCCAGAAATGCTTGAAGCTCTTGGGGGGAGGGCTGCATTCCTGGAATGGTCATCTTCGCCATTGGCCACAAAGCGTTGTGCTTTGCTCTACCCTTCCTCATTGGGCACCCTCTCTCTCTTTCCCTTGCAGGTACTCCATCGAGCAGATGTACGACGTTGTGGCTGACATAGCCAGCTATCGGTTGTTTGTCCCCTGGTGCACTGGCTCCCATGTCCTCTCCTGTCGCAACGAGTTCTCACGAGCGGAATTGGAAGTGGGGTTCCCCCCTTTGGTAGAGCGTTACATCTCCGAGATCTCTTTGGTGCCACATCGGCAGATCCGGGTAAGAAGGGAGTAAGGGGGGAGCGCATGTGTCAGGGATTGAGGGATGTAGCCTGGCTATCTTGCAGGGAAGATGTTGGATGCCAGAAGCCACTTTTTAATAAAGGAGCTTAAACGTTTGTAGAAGTCCTGCTCTCTAATCTGGGGGATCTGTCCTGCAACTCTAGAATCTCAGAAGCCAGCAGTGGCTAGACAGTGTCATACAGAAGAGTTTCTCTGCACGTGTTCAGATGTTGTGTGTTCTGGGGGAGTTGCCACCTTTTATTTTACCTGGGCTGGTCTTGGGTCTTTAGCAGCTGCTGGAAACACACACGCTCAAAATGTAAGGCGGTGCTGTTTTTCATGCCCTAACGGCCAAGGCTAGCCCAGTCTCTTTGGATCTCAGAAGCTAAGCAGGGTCAGCCCTGGTTAGTATTTGGATGGGAGACTAGCAAGAAATTCTAGGGTCGCTCTGCAAGAGGCAGGTAATGGCAAACCACCTCTGGATGTCTCTTGCCTTGAAAACCTTATGGGGTCACCATAAGTCAGCTGCGACTTGATGGTACTTCGCCCCACCACCACGTGGTTTTCTTTCCATTCAGGGACGGGTCATGTCCCAGTGGTAGAGCTTCTTGGCACACAATCCTTGGCAGGGCCGGTCGAACCACTAGACAAACTTAGGCAATTGCCTAGGATTTTAAGGGGAGCCAAAAAGATGAGCCAGGCCTCCTCTACTGGCTTGAAGGGAAGCTTGGTGTGAGAACTGGCTTCTATAATCTCTGTATCCATTGACTGGGGTCTTCTGTAGCTGCCATGATAGACCATGGAAGGCAAGTGAACAAGCTTATCTGTTTTTATTTTTACATTGTTCATTTGGAATGCCCCAGTAAGTAAAACATTCATTTTAGACTTCTCACTTTCCTCTGTATTGAATTGAAGGGGGGGGGGGTTATAGGGTACCAAAAAGCTTTGGTCTGCCACAGAAGGATTAGATCATAGGTGATGTGAACGGCCTCCACCTGAGACCCTGGAGAGCCACTAAGGGTCTGATTCAGTATAAGCCAGATTCTTGTATTCTTGTGTTAAATAAACTTCAGTTTCTGTACATTTGGTTGTTTATTAAAGACACGGCCAGTGGAAATGGTGGCAGTCTAGGGTCCAGGGAAGTGTGCTAGCATTGTATATAAGTTCCGGCTCTGAGCTCTCATATAAACTAAGCCTTGCCAATGGTATGCGAAGTAAATCCTGAGAACCTGACAGTGTGGTGAATTCAACTGTCCTCCACATTACATGGTTCTTCCTCCGACAGAAGAAGCTGAAGGAAGGCTTCAAACTTCACTCAGTGGAGTAAGGAGAATAGGAGTAGGATCCACCCCACTGTGCGTCTGTGGGAGCTCTGCATGTTCTGGTTCCTAGAGAGGCCTCTTCCTTCCTCACTCCAAACTGAAATGTGGTTTGCTGACGTCTTTTCACAGTAAAATATGGGAATTGCACTCTTGGGGGAGTGCTGAGGTTTCTTAGCCCCTCACACTACAGTGCCTCTTAAGTTTCCTCGGGAGCCTATGATCTGAGGGTCTGAGTAACTGATTTCAGTGTGTCTTGTGGTTATGTACTTAATCTGGATTGGCTTGTTGGTAGAAATTCAAGAAATGCATATAAATCTTCAGGCTGAAAGCTCGCTGAAACCAGTTACTCTATCATGGTGTCTCCCCAGAGAATTCTGGGAACTGAGCATGTAGACGTTTCTCTGATAGCCCTGTCACGGGATGATAGTTCCCAGGGTTTCTTGGTATGGAGCAATTACTGCAAAACCGGTTTGCAACTGGTTTCAGTTTATAACAGTCCTCTCAGCTGATCGCTCGGGGATTGTCACGCTGTGATTCACTTCCTCTCTGTCACACAAGCGTTTTTTTCTTCACATGTAACGCAGTACCATCACGGGAGACATGAATTTTATAATTTCTTTGGGGGCGGGGGGAGCTCCGATATTATAATAAGCTTTTGGCAGTGAATGTTTGAATCTTCAAAGTGTATCAGGCCAGAGTGAAAGCCTTTTTTCCTGCCATGCCGAGTTTGTCCAGGTCCTTTGGCAGTCCTCCTCTACGGGTTTATGATGTTGAAATGGCAAGCGTGAAGGCTTTGATACTTACCCGCCCATTTTACTTAATTTGGGTTCTGATATTCCTAAATGCCCCAGTAGGGTCAGGAATTCATTGTGTCTCAGCACAGTGTTTGTCCAACCATTCTAAAAATGTGAAGGGTATTTATCACAGCCTTTCCCTACCCAAATCACAGACATTGGCTTCAACTTAATGTAAAGAAATATGAAATCGCTTTCTGTTTGTACCCCTCTATTATGCAGGGCTTTTATTTACTAACTTACTTTACTTTATACTTTGCCTTTCTCCCCAATGGGAACCCAAAGCGGATTACATCATTCGCCTATCCTCCATTTTACCCGCACAAGAACCCTGTGAGGTAGGGTTAGGTTGAGAGGTCACCCAGTGAACTTCCATGGCACGGGTGGGGATTCGAACCAGATTTGTTGGTGGTTAAAACATTTTTGATGGCTACAAGACTTGAGACTGTCTTTAAAAATACAAGTGTCAGATACTAGTCTGACACTCTTAACCACTACACCACACTGGTGTATTTGTTTTATTTAGACATTCATACCCTACTTTTCTTCCCAGGGGAGACTCCCAAAGCAGTTTACAACATTGTTCTCCTTTCCTCTGTTTAATCCTCACGGGAACAATCCTGTGATGGTATTGTGAGGCTGAGACAGAGTGACTGGCCCAAGGTCACAGCGAGTGAGAATCCAGGATGGGATGAGGATTCAACCCTGGGCCTTCCAGACCTTCACCTGACACTCTACCGTACATTATGCTCAGATGTGTAATGACACCTGTTCCTATTGGGGCTTTCTGGACATCTGATGTCTACGTAATGCGTTTTTTCTTCAGCCAAACATATCCCAGTGGTTTGGATTAAAACAAAACCACTAAGTCTGAATGTAGATCCAGGTGGGTAGCCGTGGTGATCTGAAGGAACGGAACAAAGTTTGATTCCAGGGGCACCTTTAAGACCAACAAAGTTTGATTCTGGGGATGAGCTTTCGTGTGCATGCAGACTTCTTCCGAAGTGTATCTGAAGAAGTGTGCATGCACACACAAGCTTATCCCAAGAATTAAACTTTGTTGGTCTTAAAGGTGCCACTGGTCTCAAACTTTGTTCTAAGTCTGAATGGTTAGTACTTGAGATAAGGAAGTGTTATCTTGACAGAAACTGCTGAGTTGTTAAATGAGATTTTTAGTTTCACCCTGTTTGACTAAGCCCAGGCCCCTATCACCACCCAAACCCCTTAGGCATTTGGTGTTTCTCCTGCCCTTCATTGAAGCCAACCATAGTTTGGCTAAACCCTCAAATTTAGTAACTCTTGTACTCAGTCACACAACGGGACGGGAGGTGGGCCTGAAATGGTTCCCAATGCTTGAGTGAGTAGAAAAGGAAGATAGGGAGCGTGTACTCAGTTGTTGGCTGTGGAACCTGACAAGGTCATGTTACTTCCAGAGAATTAACTGTCATTTCTCTCTGCCTGGGTGGGTTGTGTGTCCGTGCGAACAGAAGATGGAACACTCTTGCACCTGAAGCGGATTGGCCAAGCTCAGAGGGGATTGCTGCTTTCTCTGTTTGTTTTTGATTTCAAAACGTTGGGCATTTCCTCCTCCACAGGCCGTGAGTAAAGACGGGAGGCTATTTCAGCACTTGGAGACGCTGTGGCAGTTCGGGCCAGGACTTGCAGGTCATCCGGACACATGCACACTCAGCTTTTACGTGAGTGCTCTTTGTGGGTCAGCTTCTGATGGGGGTGTGTCTGTCAGCAGAGGATCTCCCCAGCCAATCGAATGTGCAGTTTTGAAAGCTCTCAGGTTGCAAGTTGAGTTTCATCACCGGTCCAAAGTTCTGCGTAAGCCGAAAGGGTGTTCTTGCTGCCTGTGAACGTGCCGTTAATGGATTGTGTAATTTCACTTTGGCAGTATTCATTCTTTGTCCCAAAATGTTGGCTGGACAAGATGCTCCATGTGCAACAGTCAGCAGAGTTGCCCGTGCAAATCTGCTGTTCATCTTCGGTCTTCTTCATAGTCCCACACTGGGATCGTGCAGGCCAGCTGCGGAATAGACGTTTCTGGCTTCTGAGGAACTGAGGGAGCACCCCTCCCCTCCAGAGCAACAGTTTTTCCCAGAGTTGTTCATGCAGATCTACTGTACTGGGGTACAAAATCCAGCTGTTATAGGGTTGCCAGGTCTGGGTTCGGAAATACCTGGCGGCTTGGGGGGAGGAGCCTGGGGAGGGTGGGGTTTGGGGAGGGGAGGGGGCTCAGCCTGGTACAGTGCCATAGAGAGTCCACCCCTCGAATCAGCCATTTTCTCCAGGGGAGCTGGTCTCTGTCAGCTGGGGATCAGTTGTAAAAGCGGGAGATCTCCAGGCCCCACCTGGAGGCTGGCAACCCTAAGGTGTTGTGTGGGTACAAACGTGCTCAGCCTTGCAGAGTGTTGTAAGGCCCACGTGCAATCCACACGTAGAAAGGCATACTTTTTCTGTGCCTGAGCAGCCTAGGCTTTATGCTTAAGAGAAGGTGGATTTTGCAACCTGAACAGCATCAGTGGAATTGTCTTGGTGTTGCTAGAAGAGGCAAAAGGCTAAACGGGGGGGGGGGGAGGAATGCTGAAGCCCCATCCCCATGAAATGGAAAACTTGGAAGCCATGTGGGTGGTTGAACAAGTTTTCAGCAGACTGCGCCTGCGTGCTTAAAGCAGGGGTCCCCAATTCTGACACGGGATGGTGGGTGGAGGAAGAGGAGGTTGGATTTATACCCTGCCCTTCACTTGGAGTCTCAGAGCGGCTTACAAACTCCTTTCCCTTCCCCTCCCCACAACAGACACCCTGTGAGGTAGGTGGGGCTGAGAGAGCTCTTGACAGAAACTGCCCTTTCAAGGACAGCTCTTGTCAGACTATGGCTTGCCCAAGGTCATCCAGCAGCTGCAAGTAGAGGAGTGGGGAATCAAACCCGGTTCTCCCAGATTAGAGTCCGCGCACCTAACCACTACACCATACTGGGTGCAGTCACAAAATGGCTGCTGCGGGAGGCAAAGCCAGCCACAACATAACTGCCGTAGCTTTACCTCAGTCACACAGTGTGCTGTAGTAGCAATTACTGCCAAAGCGGCTTTTTAAAAAATGTGCACAGCCAATCAGATCTCCACTCAGAAGCATTGCTGGGCAGCAGCCCTCCTTGGCCTCACCCAGTTCCTAAAAACACTTGGCAGGCACCAGAAAAGGGGTTGGTGGGCACCGTGTTGGAGACCCCTGCTCTGGAACATTTTTGGTAGCTACCAGGGCTAGAGGCTGGCTTTAAGAATACAAAAGTGAATGCTGAAGTTCTCACAAAGTTGAACTCATTGGGTTGTCTGGGCTTAACCCTGGGGCCTGTACAGTCCAATCCTATGCAGAGTTATTCCATTTTAAACCCATTCAGATCAGACTGGATTAATTCTGCATAGGATGGCAATGTTGATGTAGTAATAAGGAAGTGCCAATGATCTTCCAGAGCCCCTCTGCTTTAAATGCAAAGGCACCTTTCGGCCACCTTTGAGAACTTTAAGGGCAGTGATTGCAGCTGGGGAAACTTGAATGATGTGCTTCCATTAAATGAAATGCAAATGTCCTAAATTTGCCATTTCACATTCCAGGTTGCATCAAGCTGCCACGTTTTTATTTATCCCTTTATTTTTTCTCGATCTGACTGTCCCACTTGTAAGGAAGGGTGAGGTGTAGGATCCTCCCAGTATCCTGGGAACGGGCACCTGGTTTAGAGCAGAATTTCTCAAACTTTGAATCCCACCCTGGGGACAGTGTTTTCCCCCCCTCCAGGTTAAAATAAGAGATGCACTTTACCCCAAAAGTAGAGTGTCACTGCTGACTCGATGACGTCACTTCTGGAAGTGATGTTGGCATGTCAGGGATGTCTGTTTGGGGGGTGGGGCTTCTCCCACAGGCCAGCTGGGGATCCCTCACCTGGGGACTGGCAAGCCTCAGAGGCTATTGTGTAGATAAAATAGGGAAGGGAATACCATGTTTGCAGCTCTGAATTCCTCTGAGTTCCTTAATGGAAGGGGAGAATAAAAACATGCTGGGCAAATGGATGAATGGGAAGCCTCTTCTTTACAGCTATAGGACAGCCCAGTTAATATTATTTCCCAGTGTCTCTCCCTTCTTCTCATTTGGTTGATCAAGGCCTTGGGAAAGGACTGTGCTTATTGGTCAGTGCTGCTGCTGCTGGGAATTCCTAGTCTATAATTACTTTTCTCTTGGAATAATGTCATCTTCTAAGAGACTGGAGGTCAATGCAGAAGATGCCAGGTTCAAGTGGGTGACGAGGAAGAACTGCTGCCAGTCAGAGTAGGTGATAACTCACCTTGACAGGCCAACTCAGTATACAGCTGCTTCTTGCATGTTCAAGAAGCTGCCTTGATGCTCCAAGGATTTCAGCTCCTTTTGCAGTCCACAGTTTGACGATCACAATTTTAGAGCTGCAGTAACTAATTCTGGCGTTCTTGCATTAGAGCTGTGATAACCCACCGTGATATTTCAACTCACAAACTGTTTTTCTCTCCTCCTCAGGTTTCCTTTGAGTTCAAGTCGATTCTCCATTCTCACTTAGCCAACCTCTTTTTTGACGAGGTTGTCAAGCAGATGGTCTCGGCCTTTGAGCACCGGGCAGAGAAGCTGTATGGCCCACCGGCGGTGGTCAGGCAGCACAAGATGGTTCATTGCACGTGACCGATGGACCTGCCAGAACTGATCTGCAGCCCGTCTTCCACTTCACCGACAGACCTGGATTCTTTCCCAGATATCCCTCTATGGACATTGCTTTATTTATGCCTATTTAACTCACACAACCCTCTAAGTAAATTATTTACTTGATTATTTTATAGAGAATTTTGTTTGAGGATAATTTATTGGATATTTAATTCTGTTTTTCCTCTGGCAATGACAGAGGATGGCAAATCGGTGACATTTTTATTATGTCGAATAAAATTTATTTTTCCCCCAGGATATTTTTTTAAAGGCACAGTATTTTGTTTTAAATATTAATAAAGCTTTTTTCCTAATTCTTGTTGCTCTTTTTTTGAGAAAACTTTGCTTTGCAACCCATTGGAAAGTTCTTCTGTTGGATAAATAGGGTGCTCAGCTCTGGCCTGGAATATGCCTAGAGATTTTGGGGGTAGAGCCTGGGAGGGCGGAGTTTGGGGACGGACCTCAGCAAGGTATAATACTACAGAGTCCACCCTCCAAAGCAGCCATTTTCTCTAGGAGAACTGGTCTTGGTTGGCTGGAGATCAATTATAATAGTGGGAGATCTCCAGGTACGATATGGAGATTGGCAACCGTCTAAGGGCAATAGTACTACTATAGGAGCATTTATCAGAACATTCTGGCTTCCCCTTGGTGCATGTTTGGCGGCTGGAGAAACACTTTTGGTCTTCTCCTCGAGATGAACTTTGTTCTGAGATGGTCATGCAAACTGTCCTGCTAAACACTAGTTTCTGAGGGCCCTTCAGTTCAAGGATATGCAAAGATGTGTGACTTTTGTTTAATTTCCGTGCCTCGGAACAGAATGAAAACACATTGGAACGGACCAGGAAACTGAGTCATTGGGCAGAAATTCAGCTATTGTGAGGACAGGAAAAAATGGTTGTGCTTTTTCCTTTCTTCTTCCGCAGCCCCTGCCCTCATTGACCATCTGGTACATAAACACACCATTGCTTTGGCGAGACTGTAACTGCTCAGTGAACAAAGAGTCTTGCGTTACCTTAAAAGCCTAGCATGCTTAACCATACAAAATGCTCAGAAAATACTGGTGTGAATCCTACCCCTATTCTACCAGTCCACTGAGCAAAGTGTACCGCACCTCACTTTTTTGGCTCAGATGTGAAGCCTTTCTCCAAATTAAGTGACTCTTCCATTGGAAAAAGAACCATTTAAGTTGCAGGAAGGCTCCTGGAAGGATGGATCCTTGAGAAATATACATGGCCATTATTTCTGTGCATGGGATGGCCCATGCTAGTCAGATCTTGGAAGCGAAGCAGGATTGGCCCCGGTTAGTATTTGGATGGGAGACCACCAAGGAATTCCAGGGCTGTGACGGAGGCAAACCACCTCTGAACGTCCCTTGCTTTGAAAACTGTGGGGTCACCATATATCAACTGTGTCTTGACAGCACTCTCCACCACCAAAATTTCTCTCCGGTGGGAGACACTAGAGCTAACCTAACTTCTGAAGGTCAGAAGTATAGTGCCAGAGGTAGACCATCCTATATCTACAAGTGTGCTCAAGAAAAGTTGGGGGTTGTCTTAAATTCACATACAAGTCCAAGTTATAATAAAAAAAAGTGTATAAACTTTTAAGAGGTGGTTCTCTTACAGCGTCATCTTCCTTTCAGGTAAATCACAATGACTTAAATGATCCATGTGGATTAGTGCTAGGGAGCGGCCAAGGCCTGAACATGATCTCTTCCCCACCCTGCAGCCATGCATGGGTCCTCTTACTGAGCTCCACCATAACCTGAATTCTGCAATGTATAGACATGGTGCAAGTTACACATTTCTATATTTTCTTTTTCTGTTCATACAGAAAGGCACAAAGCCAGGCTGTGACAGCTTCATCACTGGCCATCTAGCACGCTATCTCTTTCCTTTCTGCTTGCCTTTTTGAGATCTCGCCAGCTGTCACCCAGATATTGTAAGTCAGGGTCCTTTGTCAGGGTTCTTAGTCAGGTTACTCAACACAGGGCTTCATGAGAAGATAACTGTTTATTGGTAAATCCAGAACTAGAGACAAGTGTACAGCTTGTGTCAGGAATGGCCGCCAATGCTAGGGCCTCTCTTATACTAGAATCAAACATTCCTCCGGTAAGCATGAGCCAATGGATACATCTTGCGTGCACGGGCAAAGCAAGCAGGCAAAGCAAAAGCCGTTAACTTTCCCAGCTGAGTAAAACTGCAGCTGTAGCATCTACAAGGTCAAGCATAAGATAGCAGACAGTTGGTGAGCCAGGGAGAGCTGGACAGAAAACGGGAGGGCACCCCTCCACATTCCAGACCTATGACAGGGCTACCTGACATCAAGGCCTATTTTCTCAGTTTAAGGAACAGAAATTTGCTTTGAGAATTTCTCAGGTTGCTGAATTCTGGGATCAGTCATCTCTGTGCATGGGAGGGGAGAGTGCACACATCATGGGGCAGGATTATTCCAGGAGAACTGAGGTGCTTTGAACCCAGGCAGAAGCACTTCCTTTATTACCTTGCTCTCCTTCCACAGATTTTGGTATTAGAGTTGGAGTTGATCAGGGATGACAGAAGGCCATCTCTTCCCATAGTCCCTTGCTGAGTCCTGGCACTAAGAAACAAATGTTCTGGGGCAGATAACCTAGTTGTCATTCCTACCTAAACATCTGCTATCACCCAGTGCTGTGTATGTCAGCCTAAGGTTTACAGGTAACCTGGTCCAGCCTGTCTGTCGTAAGGAAATGGCTCCCCCTTTCCCCCATTTTAGAAGTTGGTCTTGTTAAACTGCATTGTTTCTGGCAAGGAAGTTCTCTTGTTCCTTATACCAGATGGCCTGTGGAAATCTCATACCTCACAAGTCAGTCCTCAGGCAAGCACCCCGTTCAGCCCCTCAAATGCCTCAGCCGATGTCAAAATGTCCCCTTCCGAAAGAAAGAATAAGAGAACCTCTGTCTGTGTGCAGGGGGGAGTTTTCCCTTAACCCTGAGCAACTTAAGTCTTGATCAGCTTCTAGGCCAGGGTTCCCCAACACGGTGCCCGTGGGGGCCGTAATAGCCACCAACACCTTTCCTGGCACTCACCAAGTGCTTCAGAAAGAGAAGAAGAAGAGATTGGATTTATATCCCACCCTTCACTCAGAGTCTCAGAGCGGCTTACAAACTTCTTTCCCTTCCCCTCCCCACAACAGACACCCTGTGAGGTAGGTGGGGCTGAGAGAACTCTGAGAGAACTGCTCTTTCAAGGACAGCTCTAACAGAACTATGGCTTGTCCAAGGTCATCCAGCAGCTGCATGTGGAGGAGCTTCTGCCTAAAATGTTGAAGAGATACAAATACACACACACAACCTTGCTTTCTGATGTTTTGTCACTGGCTTTGCCTCCTGTGGGAACCAATTTTTGATTGGCTGCACCTCCCGCGGCAGCCATTTTGTGATTGTGCCCAATGCCCTGTGTCAGAATTCTACAGGTCCCCACAGGCTCAAAAAGGTTGGGGACCTATAGGCCAAGAACTCCCCGATTGGAAGGTCATTGTGACATTGAGTAGGCTGGAGCCCCTGTCAGTTTTCAGTCACAAAATGGTGCCTGTTACCATAAATGGCCATCTCCCATACAACCCAGCTTGTCCACGTGGAGCACAAGGATGAGTCACTTCTATGACAGGTACAGCACCAGGCATGCTAATTATATAACTCACTGTGACTTCCACTGCGGAAACAGGGCACTGTCATAAGAAGGCCCAACAGCTAGTTGGTTGATGGGGCAACTTAATTCGCCCATCCTGACCTCTGTCCCACAAACAGGAGGCCTTTGTCCCAGGAACATGAATATTCTGGTTGTGTAAGCCAGCAATTGCTGATAAGGTTGATTGCCTCAGAGGTGCCGATAACGCTGCTGTTCCCTGCAGCGGCTTCACAATTTGGAGGCATCAAAAGCTAAGAAGGTTGTGGTTCTGGATGGTGAAAGCCCTGTGGAAAAACCATTATCGGCCCTTGCAAATCTCGTGCTGTGCAAGGGGGCCTGAGGATCCCCTGGAATTACAGCTCATCTCCAGACTGTAGAGATCAGTCCCCCTGGAGAAAATGGCTGCTTCGGAGGCTGGACTCTGTGGCACTGTACCCCACGGTGGTCCCTGTCCTCCCCAGACTCCATCCCCAAATCTCCGGGAGTTTCCTAACCTGGATCTGGCAAAAAAAAAAAAAACCCCATCCCCTGCCGGTGGCCAGGAGGGTTTATAAAATTATTCTTGGGAGGTGGAGAAAGTGGATGAGAGACCTTCTCTCTCCCACTCCCACAATGCTAGAGAACCCAAAGAAGTTGCAGGACAGGAAAGAGGACATTTCTTACTACACAAGTAACTAAATTGTGGAATTCACTGCCAGCAGACGTAGCATGGTGTGATTGTTAAGAGAGTTATACTGGGAGACCCAGTCTCAAATGGCCATAGATGGGGAATAGCCAGATTCATGTTGGAGAAGTCCAGCAATGCCCATAGTAACCAAGGGGAATGTTCACAAGCCAGAGGCTGCAAGCCCCTGAATAGCAGCACTGAGAGTCTGCACTGCATCAGGGAGTCTTTTGGCCTTTCAGGCACCTTTGTTGGCCCTCCATGGCGACTGGTTGGCAGCTGTGTGAACCAGGATTCTGAACTGGCCAGACCACTGTTCTGAGCCAGCACAGCTCATCAGAATCAGAATCGATTACAGTCGCTAGATTAGCCATATACATCTATAGATCTAATAGCCAAGTTGCCCCCTCCGTGCGGATATCTAAATCCGCACATCAGGGGCACCTGGGGGGCAAGGAGATTTTTTGGAGTAGTCTCTATGTGCGCAGAAAAATCTAAAAAGTTTTTAAAAGTATACAGGGGATATTTAAATCCCCCCAAAAGTAAAAGAGCGTTCCCTGCGTGTGCGTGGGAAACACTCTGAGAACTGCCGTGCTGTCGCCACCTGGAGGGGGGGGTGGAGGTCGAAGGCTTGGCAGGCCGGCGGCTGTGAGCCACTCAACCCTCACCGCCACCGCTGCTTTGGGGGGGAAAGCTTGGTGGGCCAGCCAGGCCTCACCGCTGCTAGGGGAGAGGGGAGGGAGAAGGCTAAAAAACTGTGAGCTAGCTCACACTAACTCAGCTTAGAGGGAACACTGGGTATAATAAAAACTTTACATACAGAATGTAGAATATACAAGATAAAAATATTAAACTTTAGAACGTACTTAAATAGTTTCCATAACCTCAATATCAGTAAACAAAATTCAGCGTGGCTCATCTGATGTTACGCTAAGCTATTTGGTTTATTTACAAAATCGTTGTTAGTACAAAGCCCATTATATGACTATAGGCAATAGACAGACTTTGGTATTTGGGTTGGGGTTGATCAGGAATGACAAAAGGCCATGAGGAAACAAAGATTCTGGGGCAGATAACCTAGCTGTCATTCCTACCAAAAGATCTGCCATCACCCAATGGTGTGTATGTGGGCCAAAGGTTTACAGGTAACCTGGTCCAGCCTGTCCGTGGTAAGGAAACAGCAGGATTTTTTACTTGCTGGAGGACGTGTAACACCCAGAAGGTGTGTATTTGCTAGTGTGAAACTGTATTAGATGCTAATCTATGTTATCCTTATTGCGATGGAGAATGCAAAGACATTATTTTATAACGTTTACTGATTTTTTTAAACAAAAGTCTTTAGTAATCTTTCTGCATTGGTTGCACCTTTTAAAATGTATTTCTATTATCTTACAAATTTGTGTAGTTTGACAGTTAGCAGGTCAGATTGGGAGACTCAGGTTCGAATTCCCACTCTGTGATGGAAGCTCACTGGGCAATCTTGGGCCAGTTTCGCTCAGCCCAGCCTACCTAACAGGGTTGTTTACACAAGGTGTTTACACACCTTTGGACCCCCTCAATGGGGAGAAAAGCAAGGTATTCTTTAGGTATTCTAAAGAAATGGGATTTTGGGATAATCAAGAGGTTGGCGAATGCTGGTATTGGGTGCAGACACCAGCTTCCTGAATTCCCTAGCTTTTATCCTTTTCTGAAAACCATCCAGCTACAAAGATAAGTGAATGCCAGGTGAAGCCTGCAAAAGGGTGACCAGGAGAAAAACCATTTATGCAAAATGAGGGAAATTTGCACAATACGGGCAGGTAACAGTTCACCTCAACTGAAACACAATTTTGATGCTAAGGTAATGTTAACATCGGCAGTCATATTAACTTGGCTAATCCCCCCTCTCCTTTTTAAAATTCAAGGCAATGTCCCCAAACACTGTCCTATCCAGAAAATGACCACATCCAGATCTGTTTAGGTTTGGTAAAGTGGCTGTAAATGCATGCTTTTCAGATCCCGCCAGCGGACTTCCACATGGTGCATGCATCCGTGCCTCTTGTGGTGTGCAACTTTGCCTTTAATAAAATTGTGTGCACTAATGGAAGTGCCAAAGGTCAGAGTGGTTGGAGGACCTTAAGCTCCTGTGCAGAATGCTGGGGACAGGAGACTCTCTTCCATCAGTGCCCCCCCCCCATAGGGCAGCTGCATAGCCTGGTGCCCCAGAGGGGGAGGGAGTGGCTGAACTCCTGGCAGGTCTCCAAACACTCTCATTTATGACCCGTTTTGCTTTCCCCTGCGTTCTGCCTTTCAGACCCTTGTCTTGATAATTATCCAAACTCCTATCTGGGTTTTTGCTTGCCAAGTGACCCCCTTCCTAACCTTTGAGTTGGTGTAGCTTTGGATTTCCTAATGTTGGCACATTATAAGTCACCCCAGAAGACAACCCAACACAAAAAGAGGTAGATTCTCCCTCCTCTATCTTTTGTTTTTGCCCTCTCTTTAATCAAAGAAGAAGAGATTAGATTTATACCCCTCCCTTCACTCGGAGTCTCAGAGCAGCTTACAATCTCCTTTCCCTTCCCCTCCCCACAATAGACACCCTGTGAGGTAGGTGGGGCTGAGAGAGCTCTCTCGAGAACTGCTCTCTCTAGAACAGCTCAGACAGAACTTGTAACTGACCCAATGTCACACCAGCAGCTGCATGTGGAAAAGTGGGGAATCAAACCCGGTTCTCCCAGATTAGAGTCTGGAATCCAAATTGCACAGTGTGGAAAAATAGTGCGTGGCTGCTGGAATAGTTCCATGGGCCCTGTAGTATTTGGACTGTCTAATGCCTGCATATTGCTCCAACTGCCTGCCCTGATCTGTCTGGGCCAGGCTCGCCCAGTCTTGTCAGATCTCAGAAGCTAAGCAGGGTCAGCCCAGCTTAGTACTTGGGTGGGAAACCACCAAGGAAGTTGAGAGCTGCAGCGTAGAGGCAGACAATGGTAAACCACCTCTGCTTGCCTTGAAACCCCTGTAGGGCTACCATAATTCGGCTGTGGCTTGACAGAACTTTCCATACCTTGGTTAGTCTCAGTGCAATATGTTCTTCTGCTAAATGAAGCTGCGGTGTACTGAACTGGACCCTGGGTCCACCAGTGTCAGTACTGTCTACTAAGACTGGCAACAGCTCTCCCAAGGTTTCAGGCGGAGGTCTTTCCCATCGCCTACTGCCTGCTCCTTTTAACTGGAGATGCTGAGGATTGAACCTGGGCCATCCTGCGTGCCAAGCAGATGCTCCACCACTGAACCACGTGCCCCCTCCCCATTCCTACCTCCATCTTCATTTCAACCTTGCAGCCCAGTCACTTTGTCAAAAAGATTCTTAAAAACAGAGTGTGGTGACCTAGGCCCAGGTGTGGGGCACACTTCCCTCTCGTCTTCTTTTCAAGCCAAAGTCAGCAGCTGCTGCCAAGGAAGGAAGGGAGAGAGGGCCAGAGCAGAGGTCTTTAGCTCCCACTGGACTATTCTACCAAGTTCCGAGCCCACTGTGGAAAGCAGGTTCATTCGCAGGCATAGGTCCAGGTGGTCAGCCGTGCTGGTCTGAAGCAGTAGAACCAATTTAGGGTCCAGTGGCACCTTTAAGACCAACTAAGGTTTATTCAAGGCATGCACAGTTTTGTACCCCGCCCTCCCCGCAAAGCAGGCTCAGGGCGGCTCACACGATTTAGTGCATAAATAGCAATTAAAATCTACATAAAAACATCTAAAACAATTCAGTTCAAACAGTTCAGTTACATAAATTACACAAAGTGCTGGCGGCATTTAATTAATTACATTGACGATGGTGTTCTGTATGGGTGCATATAAGATCTAACACATGTTCTGCTCCTTGATCTTCCTAGTATGAGTGGCAGCACAGGCTATAGATGTCAAAGCCAAGGGCCGGGGCTCTATTATTAAGATTGTTGATGGTAGTGGTGGCGGTGGCTCCTTAGTTGAAAGCCTGGTGAAAGAGCTCCGTCTTACAGGCCCTCCCTGTATTCAAGGGATTTGAAAAAGTGTGCATGCCCACGAAAGCTCATACCTTGAATAAACCTATGTTGGTCTTAAAGGTGCCACTGGACTCTAAATTTGTTCCCAGGAGGCATGTCTAGCTAACATGCGTATGTATCCCAAGGGGGAACGCCATTTTGTCTTTTTTCTCCACAGCACCAAGAACCCAGGTGGCATTACTTTACCGTTCACTTCATTTCTAATCCATCTTTCTCTTCATGGGGACCCAAAGCAGCTGACATCTTCTTCTCCTCTCTTGTATCCTTTGTAAGCAGTTTACCACAAAAAAGGCTATGGGAGAGAGACAGTGCGTGAAGCCTGGGACCATGAGGGGATACAATAACCAGGGGACTTCAGACACATTTTATTTCACAAAGTGAAGGGAAGCAGCATTCATCTAGTACTGCTGAAAAACAGCAAAAATATTTTCTCTCCTTCTATTTGTGTCAGTCACTAAGGTGCCCAAAGTCACGTGATGGGCTTCACAAACCACGAGGTGACACGTCAGATGACCACCCACCAGCATAGTGTCCTCGGCACCCTTCACGGAAACCCAAGAACAAGCGTTTCAGCAAGAGAGGGTGACCCAGGAGAACGCCTGGGGAGACCAGATCCACAGCCCTGCCCCTGCCAAACTTCTCAGGATCCATGAAGAGTTCTCCCCTCCTTCTGCTTCATGACTGTGGATGGGAACCAAGCTCAGCTTTCTGCACAAAGTCTTCTTTATGGGTGCCGTCACAGTATGGAGGGTTCCTCGTGCATTTGCACCCGCAGAGCCAGGCCTCTTTCGCTTCTTCCGGTTTGAATTTCAGGGAAGAGATCCGCGGGGCGGCTTTTTTATGGGAGCCATCGCAGAAAGGCTTGTGGAACACACAAAACAAAACAGGGATGAAACATTGCAACAGAGAATGTTTTGCAAAGAGATTTCAAATTAATGTTCTGGGTCAGATCTGCCAAAGAGTGAGCTGAGCAGTCAGGACTGAATATGTGGTGGTCAATTGGGGGGGGGGGAGGATGAAAGATCTAGGGATGGGCATGAACTGGATCATGAACTAAAGTTCGTCATGAATTCTGGCTGGTTTGTTGTTCACAAAGTGATGTTTGTGAACTGAAGAACCCCCACGAATTTTGATGCAGTTCATGGGGGTTTGTGAAGAGCAGAAAGCAGGGGTTTAAAGGGCCTCCAAGCCGTTTCACCCCCTGCTTTCTGCTCCCTGCTGCTTTTTGCGGGGAGCAAAAAGCAAGGGTTTAAACTTTAAATGGCCCACAAACCAATACAAACCAGTTCAGTTTGTGAACCAGCATATCGATTCACAGTTCAGTTTGTGATTTAGCCACGAACAGAACCACATATTTGCCCATCTCTAGAAATATCTTTAATCAGTTGGAGAGGGGAGGAGGGGGACAGAATCTAGCCCCCTCCACACCTTCTCCACAAAAGTCAATCTGCAAGATTTCGCTACATCCGCAATTTTTTAATAGTAGCAATCATGTGCAACCTGTATTTTCCTGCATGGACACAGCTATAGTGCAACAGTAGCATAACCCAGATAAATAAATATAATAAAATTGGAATTGTTCCAGAGGACGCCACAATAAAGGGACAAGGGTTGTAGATCATGGCACTGTTTATTATATGCATTTCTTGGCTGTCAAGTGGCGTGGGAGATCAGACCACTAGAGTTTAGCATTTGGAAAAAGGTGCCCCTGGATCATTCACTTGGTCATCCTCCAGTTTAATATATGTCATTATTACATGTCCACAACGCTCTTCTAGCCTCTCCACTGAACAAACAGGTCAGCCCGTATGCCAAAGAATCACCATATTTACTCAGAAGGAAGGTGACCCTAAATGTAAGACAACCGCTGCAAAAAAAGTTACATACCAAGAAACGTCTTTACTGGACATAGCTGTAACTTATGTGAGAATGTACAATGACACACCCCCCCTCTTCCCCCCCCCATCAAGTCACACCTGACTTTTGGTGACCCCTGGTGGGGTTTTCAAGGCAAGACACATTCAGAGATGGTTGGCCATTGCCTGTCTCTATGTAGTGACCCTGGACTTCCTTGGTGGTCTCCCATCCAAGTCCTAACCAGAGCTGACCCTGCTTAGCTTCCGAGATCTGATCAGACTGGGCTAGCCTGGGCCGTCCAGGCCAGGGCTTTGAGGGTATACTTGAAAAAAAAACCCTTACCTGGAAAAAAATCTCTAGTCTTGCACTGGAGTAAATATTGTAGTGTCAGATCTGTGTCCATCTAAAATACCAGTATTTAGAAACCAGCGGATGAACATTTCAGACTTCCAGGGCATTCTGCCAGTTGTTGTTTTTTTTGCCATCAAGCTACAGCTGATTACGGTGACCCCCGTAGGGTTTTCAAGGCAAGAGATGTTGAGAGGATGTGTCAGGTTCGGCAGTAAGTAAAACCTCCACACACGTTTCCAAGGAAGCGTTATGCTTTATTAGATTACAAAACTGGTACCATATCCACAGGATTATTGTTAGGAATTACCATGGGGCGGAAACATCCTTACATATAGCAGGATGAGGCAAATGGCTAAGCAAATGAAACTCGAGCGCATGCGGGGGAATTCTCCCGGCGGGAGGATATATGATAAGCGGGAGAGTCGCAGTGCCTCATGAGAGCCGAAAGATTCACACCAGGGGTGGAACGCAAGCCCTCCCTCCTTCCCAAGGCCAGACAGATAACGCCGTCTGGCAGTACTGGCTCTCACGGTCTCCCAAGCATTGTTTACAGCAAGCAGCAGAGCAGCAAGCAAGCCAGGATCAGAGACGGGAACAAGCAAAACATGGCAGCTAGCTGCCTCTGCATAGCTACCCTGCCTCTGCATAGCTACCCTGGTATTCCTTGGAGGTCTCCCATCCAAATACTAACCAGGCCCACCCTGCTAGTTTCTGAGATCTGCGGAGATTGAGTTAAGCTGAGCTATCCAGGTTAGGGCAGTCACTATTCTCCTAGAGAAGAATTCTTCAAAGGGAGAATGTGAAGGGGAATTTCTGAATGATCATTCATTGAGACTTTTCACACTCCCACTCAGCCAGGCCTTCACAGGGACCTCTCATTTCTCACACACACACTGTAGGTGCTAATATTGTGCATATTCTACTCCTTACAGACGTTAATTACTTCGCCTTTATCTCTGTAACTTCTTTTTTTTTATCTGCTTATCTCATAGCATCCTGCACTAGCTTTCACACTTTGACTATCCAACAGCAGTTGGAAGTCATTGAGTGATGCTGAGTGACCTGATCACTCTTTGGAACACCTCCCCGCCACACCCACCCACCCCTGTTGTGCATATAAATTGGGCCTGATGGATTTACACTCCTATGCATCAGAAGAAGCGAACTCTGTCTAACAAAAGCTTAAGGTGGAATACATTTTGTTAGTCTTTAAGGTGCCACTGAACTTCTGTTTAGCTATTTATTTTTGTTCAGGGAAGTTTCTTTTAGAATCCCAGCATGGCGGATGGGCAGTAGGTTCAGGACGGACAAAAGGAAATACTTCTTTACGCAGCAAGTGATTAAAATATGCGGAATTTGCTGCCAGAGAATGTTGTGATGGCCACAGGAACAGACAGCTTTAAAAAGGGATTACGTAGAATCATGGAGGGGAGGTCCCACTGATAGACCTCCACATTCAGGGAACCTCCACATTCAGGGGCAGTCAACCTCTGAATCCCAGTGCCGGGAGGCAACATCGGGGACAGCCTTCATGTCCTGCTGTTGGTCTTCCAGAGCAACTGGTTGTCAGCAAGCTGCCAATTGTTTTCCGCTTTCACTTTCATTCGCATGTCTCTGTGTGCGCTTAAGTGCTTCAGTACAGCACCGTATATCTTTCAAGGCCGCAGGAGGAGAGGAGCCGCATAGTTGCTTGGGTTATTGCACGGAGGTGCCGTGGGAAGGATACCTGTTATGCTTAGAGGGGCTGTTACTTTCTCAGGCCTAATGGCGCGCGCGGGAACTCCCGCAATTGGGCCTTCCTAATTTGAATGTTCTATAACCTGTCATGCTCACTGATTACCCGTCATTCCTAACAGTGATCCTGTCAACGCATCTTCAGCTCAATAAAGTATAACCTTTCTACAAGTGTGTACTACGTTGTTGCTGTGGGACCTGACACTGGTTGGCCACTGAGTGAAACAGGATACTGGACTCATCTTGTGACTATTTAAATCAAGGCTTAATTGAGCTGAGCAGAGGTGGGAAAAATACACTCATCAATGATACAAAACATTAATGACCTCAGTGGTCAGCACCCTGTCTCATACTCAAGCTTTTATCCTCATGCAACTCTGGAATAGACCTACTTTAAATTTGGTAAAGACGGCGGGAGGGGGGCTCCAAGGGAGCATGTACAGAGAGGGAATATGGGAGAAGGGGCAGGGCTGGAGGGTTACCTGTTTCTTGCTGTGGCCGCAGGCACACCAGGCGTAACGCTTCCCTGCTTCTAGGTCTACCCGGAAGGGCTCCTTGGCAGCGATTACCGGCTGGGCGGTTGAAGCAGTTGAACAGGTCCTTCTCTGCAATGTTGTTGGAGAGGGGATTGAGAATGGTTAAAAGAAAAAGGTTGGTTGTGTAGCCTTTCCCCTCCTTGCAGAACTACAATTCCCAGGGTTCCCTAGTAAGAAGGGATCATCACTAAATCAACTGAAACACGTCCATTCATCTCCAGTTGAGGAGTCCCTCTCTCTGGCTTCCCACTATCGCTGTTGAGGGCATCAGAAGAGAGAAAACAACAGCCAAGCATCCTTCCATGGGGCCTGTCTCAAGGCCCGTCCATGCGCCACATTCTTTGTCAGTTGTTACCTGCTGTGTTTTCTGATGTTCTGCCTTTTAGACTGCACACTGCCGGTGTTGAAAAAAGGCATGTGGATTATGAACACTACAAAAACAAAGACCAGTCTAGTAGCATGTTATAGATTAAAAAGCTTTATTCCTTCACAGACGTACACTCTGGCGCATCTGATGAAGTGAGCTCTGGCTCACCAAAGCCGATGCCGGAATAGATTCTGTTATTGTTTAAGGTGCCACAAGATTCCTATTTAGTTTTGCTGCTATCCATCTACATCAGGGGCCCTTGACCTTTTTGAGCCTGGGGGAGCCTTTGAAATTCTGACACAGCATGGTGGGCGAGCCACAAAATGGCTGCCACAAAATGGCTGCGGCACGAGGCGGAGCCAGCTACCGAATGAGGGCCACAGCCTCACTTCAGCCACACAGTGAAGACTCTGGTGCTGTGGTGGCCGCTGCTTCCGAACCAACATTTTAAAAAATCTGCACAGCCAATCAGAAGCCTAGCTGGCCAGACGCCCCACCTGGCCCCACCCACTTCCTAAACTCTTTGGCGGGCACCAGGGAAGGTGTCATCAAGCGCCATGGTGCCTGCAGAGACCATGTTGGGGACCTCCATCTAGAATAATAAACCCAGGAGGGTGGCCATGTTAGTATCGTGCAGCAAACAGTGGGAACTCCCATGATGTGGTTTAATTTCTTTCCCAATTTGGTGTACTGGTTAAGTGCGCGGACTCTAATCTGGGAGAGCCGGGTTTGATTCTCCACTCCTCCACTCGCACCAGGGCTCCCAAATCTGTTTGGAGCCCTGTTGCCAGAGCAATGTGTAGCGTCATGTCCTGGCGACGGCTGGTGCAATGTGTCTCGCTGTCCCCGCGTGCCAGATTCTGCAAAGACACACAATCCCCCGCCGCCATTTGGCAACCCTAACTCGCACCTGGCTGGATGACCTTGGGCAAGCCGTAGTTCTGATACGAGCTGTTCTTGAAAAAGAGCAGTTTCTGTCAGAGCTCTCTCAGCTCCACCTACCTCCCAGGGTGTCTGTTGTGGGGAGGGGAAGGGAAAGGAGTTTGTAAGCCACTCTGAGACACCTTCGGGTAGTGAAGGGCGGGGTATAAATCCAATCTCTTCTTCTTCTAATTTCTTTCCCATCCCTATCTCTTTAATAGCTTCGAACCACTCTTTGCATCGACCACCACAGGTACTAAAGGCCGAGTCTTCCAGAACAATCCTATCAACTTACATCCACTGGTTTCCAGTCAGTAACTGCCATAGGCTTGCCCTTGCTAATGTGCTCTTAGGGCAGGTGAATCCAAGTCCTTCCATAAACTGCGTGTGTGTGTTGGGGGGGGGGAGTGATAGCTGGGTATTAACTGCAGCATCATTATTTCAGTGTGCAAAGGGAGGGCTTCCCAAGTGACATCCCGACTTGACCTCTTGCATTTGAGGGAGGGGGGGGGGAAGCCCTGCACACTGTTCCCAGGGTTTGTGGAGGAAGTGACGAGTTACTTGCCACCTGTCGAATTCAGGTGTCATACGGTTGCCAACTCCAGGTTTGGAAATACATGGAGGCAGGGGCGGATGAAGGCTCACTGGTGCCCCCAGCACTGACCAATCTTGGTGCCCCCCTCCTTTCCACACTGACCCCGTCCATTTTAGTTTTTGACCTGTCTGACCAGATATGCAGTGCAGGTTGCAGCAATACAAACATTTATTCATATGATAAACACAATATACTGTACAAACTAAGCTTTTCACCCTTTCCCCAACTTTGTGGTGCCCCCTTTGGCCCAGGTGCCCTAAGCACGTGCTGAGTCTGCTTAATGGTTAATTTGCCCCTGCCTGGAGGTTTGAGGGTGGAGCGTAAGAGAGTGCGGTCTAGGGAGGTAAAGAATCTTGGTGGTGGGGGCCATGCAATTCACCTCCCAAAGCAGCCCTTTCCCCCAGAAGTGGAGTAAATGTTTTAAACAAACAAATAAATAAATAGCGACGCGCAGTCTGGAGATCAGTTGCAATTCCGGGAGATCTCCAGGGCCCCTGACATGGAGGTTGGCAACCATATGGTTCACCCGGAGGCCGTTTCCGGGCTTACCTGGGAGCGAAGGCGCCTCGCAAAAGAACCGGCCACTGATGACAGGAGACGGCCGGTTCTCCACGGCACAGGCATGACTCGCGTGCAGGAGGCGGAGGCGGCGGAGACGGCGGCAGAACTCCGCCCTCTGGACCGGGTCACCTTCCCCGTCTCCCGCCCCGGAAGCCGTGCACATTGCAACGCCCTCCCAGTTCCCGAGCTTGCTCGGCAGACTCTGGAGTTCGAGGGGAGTCCTTCTGGTTGCGTTGCAAAGGCCCGCCAACTGTTCGCTTAAAATATGTTTTTTAAAAACCCCACAAAGACTCCAATAGGTATGTATATTTTAAAATGTTCCATTTTATTTGGGGGAAAAACTTTTTTTTCATGAAAATAACAAGGATTGAAACAGCTGCCTGGTTGTAGAAATACAGCAGTGATAAAAACATTTTATTTTGCATATTTGACAGGTATGGAAAGAGGGGAGTTAGCAGTGAAAGTGGAGGAACGGAAAGGGAGCTGCAATTTGGCATCCAAGATTTCCCCACTGCCCCCGTTTTGTCATGGGAAAAATATATAAGACTTTGCTGTTGAGCTCACTCTGTGTCTGTTTGTTAAGGCTGCTGTAAAAGAAAAGTGAAACATGCTCAGAATTCCATCTGGCATGATTTGTTTTTCAAACTGAGATTTTTTTAAAAGGGCAGAAAAATGAACATACACTCTCATGTTTGATTGTATGTTAATTAATGATGTAATTTTTTCTAGGAGAGTTGAGCCAAAACATTCAAATTAAGAACATAAAAACATATGAAGAGCCCTGCTGGATCAGGCCAGTGGTCCAACTAGTCCAGCCTCCTGTCCCACACAGTTGGCCAACCAGTTCCTTTGGACAGCCAACAACAGCATAGAAGCTGAGGCCTTCCCCTGATGTTGCCTCACCTGACTCTGGGATTGAGAGGTTTAGTGCCGCTGAATGTGGATGTTCCTCTCAGTCATCATCACCATGGCTAGTAGCTACTGATAGACCTATCCTCCATGAATCTGGTACCCCCCTGCCAGGGGCCACCTGGCAATCCTAACTTCTTCAGATGCTGTGTGGTGTGGCTGGAGTGCCAGACTAGGATCTGGATTCGAATTCCCATTCTGTCATGAAAGTCACTTGGAGGACTTTTGACCAGCCACATTCTCACAGCCTAACGTACCTCACAGGGTTGCCGGGAGGATAATGAAATTAAACCCTATCATGTTGCTTCTGGTGTATATTTTCATCACATCCAGTTATTTTGAGGTACACAGTCCATAAATAAACCAACTGTTCGCTTAAAATATGTTTTTTAAAAACCCCACAAAGACTCCAATAGGTATGTATATTTTAAAATGTTCCATTTTATTTGGGGGAAAAACTTTTTTTTCATGAAAATAACAAGGATTGAAACAGCTGCCTGGTTGTAGAAATACAGCAGTGATAAAAACATTTTATTTTGCATATTTGACAGGTATGGAAAGAGGGGAGTTAGCAGTGAAAGTGGAGGAACGGAAAGGGAGCTGCAATTTGGCATCCAAGATTTCCCCACTGCCCCCGTTTTGTCATGGGAAAAATATATAAGACTTTGCTGTTGAGCTCACTCTGTGTCTGTTTGTTAAGGCTGCTGTAAAAGAAAAGTGAAACATGCTCAGAATTCCATCTGGCATGATTTGTTTTTCAAACTGAGATTTTTTTAAAAGGGCAGAAAAATGAACATACACTCTCATGTTTGATTGTATGTTAATTAATGATGTAATTTTTTCTAGGAGAGTTGAGCCAAAACATTCAAATTAAGAACATAAAAACATATGAAGAGCCCTGCTGGATCAGGCCAGTGGTCCAACTAGTCCAGCCTCCTGTCCCACACAGTTGGCCAACCAGTTCCTTTGGACAGCCAACAACAGCATAGAAGCTGAGGCCTTCCCCTGATGTTGCCTCACCTGACTCTGGGATTGAGAGGTTTAGTGCCGCTGAATGTGGATGTTCCTCTCAGTCATCATCACCATGGCTAGTAGCTACTGATAGACCTATCCTCCATGAATCTGTCTAAATCTTTAAAACGGTCTATGCTTGTGGGCAAATTTCAGTTCCTCCACATTTTCAATTTACTTAACATTATATTGGTGTATTCCAGATTTTATAATTCTGTTCAACGCTGTGGTTGGTCAACTACACTGTACACTGTTCTTAAAACTTCTTTACTTTTAAGCCTAGTAGTCAAAACCGGTTGTAACATGAGGGTGAAGTGCAGTGGTGAGAATGTAGGAATGGGACCTGGGAGGACCAGATTTGAATCCCTCACTCCGATTAGATGACAAGCTTGGTGCAGTTTGGCCACGCTTCTAATTTCTCCAGAGTTGTTTGTTCCAAATAGTTTTGCCCAGACCTTATTCTGCCTTGACCGATCAATTACTGCTGTGTGGTCACTGTGGAGCGGGTGGTTGGGCTGCTCCTTTTAAAAAAGGTCTGTTTGCACATGGACAGAACTGCTTATTTGCTAGGAGCGAATATGCAGTTATGCGTACATCGCTAACTGGGGAAAAAATGGTGGTCACGGAGCGGAAGCCTCAGGCTTCCCAAATGGCTTGAGCGTGGAACAGAGATATCAGCCTTCTAGAAATGCACGGTGAGAACCAGTTAGATTAGAAAACACTGGACTTCCTCCGGAGTTGGGGAAATCGGGGGTGAAGACGAGTGGCCAGCGACTGGGGAACGCAAGACAGATGTGGCTGTCTGGACAGACATGTAAAATCCGGTAGGGAGAAGCAACGACATCAGAGCAAATAGCTCATCTGATCACAGCCTCCATCAAGGAAGCCTGCCAGGTGACCTTGGCCGTGTCATAATGTCTCAGCCTAACCTACCCTCACTAGGTTGTTGTGAGGATTAAGGAGGAGGAGGGGGGAACAATGTAAAAAGCAGGATAGAGAGGAAAGCATAATATAAACCCTAAATAAAATTCTAGAAATTCTCAGGACAGACAAAAGGAAATACTATACGAAGTCAAAGGCTTTCACGGCCTGAGTTCATTAGTTGTTGTAGATTTTCCATACAGCCCGGAAAATCTACAACTAAAAAAAGCAAATACTACTTTTACACAAAGAGTTATTAAAATGTGGAATTTGCTGCCAGAGGATGTAGTGGTGGCCACAGGAATAAACAGCTTTAAAAGGGGGATTAGATAGATTTCTGGAGGATAAGTCTAGCAATGGCTACTAGCCATAGTGGCTGAAGGGAACCTCCACATTCAGAGGCATTAAACCTCTGAATCCCAGAGCCAGGAGGCAATATCAGGGGAAGGCCTCAGCCTCTAAGTCCTGTTGTTGGCCCTCTGGAAGAACTGTTTGGCCACTGTGGGAGACAGGAGGCTGGACTATTGGTCTGATGCAGCAGGGCTCTTATGTTCTCAAAAGGAATCCATTGTGTAGCAAATTTAGAAAGGGCTTTCCCCCCTCGTGTCTGATCAAACCGCAACCTAGAACATGAGTACTGATTTAGGTAAGATCTTTCAAACCCCAGTATCTCAGAATGCCTTTACACTGGTTAGGTTAAACTAGATCAAACCCTGTGGCGACATATCTGTTCCAGTTCACTTTCTGCTTCTTCAGTGGAGCTGAACAACCAAATCGTGCCTGAAACAACTAACAGTCCCCACAACCTGACAGTGGCTGAAACGTTTTAAAAAATGAAGCCCAAACTTGTGATCATCTCTGCTTAGCACAACTATACTCGGGATCCAAATACTGCTGGCAAAATTCACAAAAGCTCACTACGGAAGCCCCCCCCAAACCACAAAGTCTTTCTTGCAAATAGCCTGGGGATCAACAACACATCTATGAACAACTCAGCACACTGAAAGCATCTGGAAGAAAAGTAGGCCTAGTTTATGCAAACAGCAGATGCCTTGGGGAAATGGCCCTCAGCCACTTCAGATTTCAGGAGGGGGAACCTGTTGACATCTGCTATTTGTATGACCAGAAACTAAATTGCATTTCAGTTTCACTCCACAGTGAGTGGAGGGTCGGACAAGCAAGCACAGACAAAATTGAGGGAGACATCTTTACGCAAACTGAATTTCCTTGGCAAAACCCATTTTCCACAGAGCCAAGAACAAAACAAGGGATTTCCCCATGTACTTGTCCCTCCACCCTTTTAAAGGTCATTCCCACAATCCAGAAGACATCAGAGGGCTATGCACGGCATGAAGTCACCGCTGAACGGAACCCCATATGGAAGCACTTGGGTAGGTGGGGGTCCCAAAAGAGTGAGGCACAGTTGCCCACATGGGGAAGCCACTCCTGCCAGCCCCCATTTCTCTTTCTCCTTGCAGCAGGCTGCCGCTCACCTGATAACAGCTGAATGGCTTGTGGAAACCAATGCATCAACTAGGCAAATTCTGTGTCAGCCAGAACCACCAAGTTAAGGCATAAGATTTCATGCGCTAGAACCCAGAGGCACATGGAGCACACGCCTCCATTCATTTCATAGTCTCACAGGTGCAATAAGGCTCTTTGCTAGTATGCATCATAGAGAGGCACATCTGTGCAGGTAACCAGTGAGCAGAGCATGAACCATGCAGACGGGTACTACTCCAATTATGGTGGACTGCGATTTCGTTTTATTACTCCATTTCTAGATGGTAAGAGCTGGCACTCTGGTGACTTCTTCTGTTTAATTCTAATTGCGAAATAATGGAGGCTGTTGCAAAATTTTTATATGATGCAATCAGAAGACGAGGCTTGAATAGCCAAGTGTAAGCAACTGATGCATCTTAGTATTTTCCTGTATTTCCATGTTTTGTGCTTTCATAAAGGTTTTGTTTGTGTTTGTGTGTGGTGGACTTGAAGGTGGCCTAGAAAA